AGTATTTACAGGCAAAAAATGTGATCAAGTTGTGTGTGAAGGAGGTTGAGGTTAAGGACTAGGCAAAACCTTGTAGACTGTGGAGGAACAAAAGCTCAGGCATGTGTGCAGAGATGGGAGGCTGTTGATGGGCTGCTGCCCTCCTCCCTTTACTGGGAGGTCTATATGCAATGATCCAAGAGCCATCTGAACCAGTGAATTGCTGTGTGGTGCATTCAAACCAGCTCTTTGCTCTTGACTCATTGCACGGTGCTATGCAAAGACCTTGGGAGGCTCAGGAGCTGCCTCGTGAGAAATGCCTGTCTCCCTGTGACATCTGTGAGAACCTCTCAAGGAGGAACGAGGATGGTGACGAGGACAATTTACAGAGTCAATTATCCCAGTGTGTGCAGGGCATTTTCAAGGTGCAGACTCCAGTGTTATGCCCATAGCCATTTGCTTCTTTTTGCTAAGAGTAGTAGATCAAGTGAGGCATTTCTGAGATGGAAAGTAAGATGGAAGACTAACAGAAGGACTTGACAGAGTTTTCATTATAGTTCTCAGCAGGAATGAATTGCTTATCTTTGCTTGTAGAAATGGGTATCTTGCCAGCTTGCTTGCAGTCATAAAGAAATCTATTCCCTTATGTTTGTGGATTTTTTTTTTGTTGTTTGTTTGTGTTTTTGCGTAGTTGCTGCCTTTTGCCCTGTGCTTTATCTGAAGCTTTCACGGCTGTTGTCTTAGGAAGGTGGAGGGACAGTCTGTTAGCAGTAAAAGGCAGCCTTTGGCAGCAGTCGGAGACATGTGGGCAGATGCTCCCCTTCTGCACACCAGTGCTTTGGGGCACACACTTGAGGAGGTCCCTCTTGAGAAGGTGCTGACCTGGGTCAGCGCCCATGGCTGCTGCTGCTGCCTTGTCCCTATGCCCATATTAATTCATGGCTATGCAGGAGCCTAGACAAAATGGAGCTATTGAGGAAGGGTGGAGGAGCAGGATGTGGCTGCTGAAGAGTCTTATTCCTGCTTGAACACCCTTGGAGGTTCACTGGAGCTTCCCTTGAGCTTCTGGCTTTGGGGCAGAGCTTTGTGTGCTCCTTGCAAACGGGAGGAGTGTAGCACCGTGCAGCTACAGACTTGGTGAGACAAGGCACTTGGACTCGTGCCTTGGTGAGAGCATGTGGGTGGTGGGAGGCAGGACGTCCTTGGGCTCCCAGGGGCGTCTGTGGACCTTGGGCCTAGGATTGACCATGGGCCATGATGCCCCTGAGTGGCCTGTGGAGAAACCAGCACCGGCGCGGGGAAGGGTGAGGGGAGTGGAGAGAAGGGAGGTCTGAAACTGAACCTAGCACAGTGGGGAGGAAAGATGATCATCTAAGTGTTTGCTTAATTTAATGCCATTTAATGCCTTTCTCAGTAGCTGAATCGGTAATTAAAAGTTTATATTAACTGGCAATAAAAAATGTGAAATTCCCTAACCTGAAACTGTCTGGCTGGCTGCTGCAGGTAGGTGCAGATCCTCCTGTGCCCACAGCTCCCCTTTGCAGCTCTGATAACTGCCTCCAAGCAGGACCCCCGTGACTTGGTTTGCTGCTTTCCCCTATGACCTGCTCGAGGGCACAGAAAATAAGGTCTGTTTCTCAGACCCGTTCTGCTTTCACTTGTGAAACCTTTTCCTCATCTGTCTGAAGACCAGGCGTTCCCAGACAGAAGATTAAAAGCTTAATAATTGTGCCTGTGGCTCAATTGTGCTGCAGCTGTGGCAGTAATTGCAAAGTCACTCTTATTTTTCAGGAAAGGGCTCGCTTATGGCTTTATTATTATGTTTCAGAAGTTACTCGGAATAGCTCTGAGTAAGTCAAGACACAGCTTCCACTAGGCTGTGCTGGAAAAAAGAATCAGTGCATTTAGTCATGGTTAGTGAAATTTATATTATTAAGTAATTTTGTGTTTCAGGGAAATAATTAGCTTGTCTAATAAATGTAATTGCCAACTCAGTATTTTTCTAAAATATTAAAAGAAAGTGAGAACTGAGCGACTACTGTTTTTTAATATGTTGTTTCCCTATGTTTAGTTATACTTCTTTTTTTTTTTTAATGTATATATGCTGGCATCGAACATTTCTTGCCTGTAATTTCTTCCTTAAAATTTGCCTTTAGGATTTGGATGTCGAGTTCCCATTGTGTGCATCATAGGTAACTGATCAGTGGGGGAATTTTGGACTTCCTGACAGCTTAATTTTCTCTCGCATTAAATCAAGTGCACAAATACTGTAGTGGAATACGGGGATTTTTGCCTTATCCTTCCTTCTTCTTTGCATCAGTTTCATGTTTACAACTTGGTCTTGTGGTTGCAATGATCCCTGTGTTCATTGGTACTTTACTGGAGTTTTGTTTTAAGTCGGCAAGTTAGCACACTATGTTGAATATGATTTCATTAAGGAAAAAAAAAGCTTTAACATATAGCCTTGTTGTGAATGTCTAGATTTTACAGGGCAATTAGGCTTTACTTTTCACCTACAGTTCCAATAGTTATTCTGACCAAATTTACCTTTCTTGTGTTTTTACTCTGATTAAACTACCATGGATCTCTGCTTCTGGAAGGGAATTTAGTATTAATTTTAAGAAACATCTTGCATGTTTCTACCTGTTTTTGTGTCTGCTCAAGAGACCTAATCTGTGCCTAAACTTGCAAAGCAAAATCCATTTAGGTGACAGCGTGCAGAGGGAGGCTGCACCCTGGCTGTGCTTTTGGCACTTCCACACGTGCTAGTGAGCTGGATTGGCAGGACTGCAGGAGTGTGTGTCTGTTCTACGGGATCAGATAACAGCCGGTGCTGGTACCAGTGGCTAGTTTCTGTTGGCAGCATCTCCAGGTGCCTGTGAGGCTGTTGTTTCGTAGGAAAAGAGAGGCTGCCACCGTGTGTGAAGAAATCACATTGCCTTTGCTGTGGCTGCAGTGATCCTTCAGCAGAATAGCAGTAGCTCACAGTTTGTTTACTTTTTATTTTTCCTGAAAGAAGATTTTAATCTCATGATAGAGACAGGAATGTTGTTATATTCTTAATTTCTACAGATAAGGGTCTTTGAATTTTTATGTTCTTGTGTAAGTAGTTCGTAATCACTTTGAAACATGTTATCATGAGTGATCCCTTTCTGTTTTTTTCTCTTTAAAAGAAGAAAAATATTGCGTATGTAAATTTAACTGTTCACATTGATTGAAATGAGAACACAGAAATGTGTATGTGTGCATGCATACATATAGACACGTTTCTATATCAGCTTTTACAGCATGGAGATCCAAACCAGTTTATATGCAGCATATTTTACGTAAACCTAACAGATGACCCACTGTACTAGTAAATTTGAGTCTTTAGTATTTTTTTTTCCATCTTGATCAGAAAATATTCATTATATATATATATTATATATTTCACAACATGCTGTTCTACATTTATCTCAGACTTTGAAAAGGATTTCAAAGTTCTCGCTGGCAAGTGAGTTGAGCTCTGCCTCCCCAGAAGAGCCAAGGCCCAAGTCGGTCACCTCTTCTCTGTTGCCGGCCCAAACCGTAACCCTGGCAAATGCAAAATCCCGGCTTTGCCCAGCGAGTTTTGCCCAGGATTTAGACTTTCCAATAAAGAGCAGTGCCATCTCGCGGCTGTGGTCAGGCCTTGCCTGGCGTCCTTGGAGGAAATATTTTCCTCTCCTCACCTTGGGGGAGAGATTTCTCCGTCCAGCTTTTTCACGGCCCACCTTTATGTTTGTGTGAAGGCTCACGGGAGGAGATGGGCAGTCTGCCTTCATCCCCCGTGGAGGCAGCAGTGTAACCAGGCTGCCCTCCTTGGCCATGTGGAGTGAACTTGAAACAGGAACCCGTCCAGCGGCAAAGTAGCTGCTGCATCAGTTCCCTAATGTGGTTCCCCAGAAGCGTGCTGTGTCACAGGGGGAGGACGGCGAAGGAGCAGAGAGGAGGGTTTTTCACGGAGGAGGAGGAGGAGCCAAGCTTCATTTTTTGGGGAGCGGGGCGGTTATATTCGGGCAGAAGTGTTTATGGGAGCGGAGGCTGGAGATGCACCGAGGAGGGGCTTTCCCTTCTCTGTGGCCTCCCCTTTCCCCATGGTCACCCCATGGGCCCCCCGACGTGGTCTTCCCACGGGTTAGCCCTCGTCCACGCAGTCCTGAGCTGAGCTCAGGTTGTAAGGAGCCGTGCAGCAGCATGGCAGCAGCAACACTGCAGGCCCTGGAGAGAAACTCCGAGGGAGGGCAAGTCGGTGTGATTTTGGAGCAGGTGTAGCTGTGTGCCTGGGTGAACATCTCGTCTGTGTGCCCTCAGCCCTGACCCTTCCTGCAGCCCCCATCCTGTCGGTTGTTACTCCCTGTTTCTAGTCCCAGGAACTCGTTACTTGGCTGTACCAGGGAGTTTGCCTCCTGTCTTCTCCGTTGCGGGTGCCGCAGCCAGAGTATGTGGAGGGACCTTCAAGTGAATTTGCTCATCAGGAGTGTTGAAAAAAGGGTTTCCTCATTGAGGTGGGAGTTCCCAGGCACAGTAAAGTCCATGGGAGTTTATAGCAGTGATGTCAGTGCGACTGTTCTTAGTGTTTTTCTGACCCTTTTCAACAAAACAATGTGATCAGTTATTGCAGAAATTGTTTGAGTTTATAATCTGATTTTTTTGTGAGTTCATTAAGATAAAATGCTAGTCCTTGTCAAAGACAAAATATTGTTAACTGAAAAGTAATTCTGCCAATATTTCATCCAGGGTGACTAGACTTTGAATTCAAGAAAAAAAAAAAAAAAAGCATATAAGCACCTGCTCTGGGATGTTAACATGCTGTTACCTGAGTAATCACATGGTATAAAATGAAATGTAACAGTAAAACCAAAACTTTAAACATCTCCTCCATTGTTCTTATTTGATTATCAGGCAAGGTTGCATTCAGTTTTATTTAAGATATTTTAATCTCTTTGCTATTAATGTATGAAAAGTATAGATAACTCTATCCCTGTATTGGTCTTTAACAGGAACCAGTGATCCGTATGTCAAGTTCAAACTTGGAGGAAAAGAGGTATTTAGAAGTAAGACAATACACAAGAACCTCAATCCTGTGTGGGAAGAAAAAGCTTCCATTCTTATAGAGCACCCCAGAGAACCTTTGTACATAAAGGTGAGACTCTCAGTTTGGCTGTGAAATTTTATGTCCTGCAATTTCTTTACACTAAAAAAAAATATTGTGTAGTATTTCACTACTAAGGATTTTTAAAGGTGAAAATTACATCTGTGTGGTGATGTAGGAATTTCCAAACAAATAAAGTAAGTACGGGGACTTTTTTCTATGTTTCAGGCCATTATTTTATATTTTTAGTTTGTTCTTAGGCCCTTGTTAGGGCAAAGAAAACTTTTTGTTATTGGCATCCATTTTCTTTATAGAAATATTGTTGCATGATTCATGTACATTGTGGCTGGTCTGAATGTATTGCAAGTGAGAACAGTTTTGCCATGAGACACACAATTTCTTCAAAAAAACTAGTTGCTTCAGTTTAAATCAAATACAAGCCAACAGTACGCAGAATTAATAGTATGAGTGCCCTAATATTCCTCACTTATCTATATTGGAGTGGAATGTACAAATCCCTGTTCTTGAAGATCCAGGTGGTTGTTCTACAGGATTGGAATGGAGAATGTTCTGGTCCAAATGTCTCATGGTGATGTGTTTCCAAAAGTGAACTATACCTTTGTAAACCAAAATAGATAAAAAGTCAATTCTGAAAAAGTTAAAAGGGAAAAAAAAAACACCCTGTAGTCTTTGGTTTCTAATTAAAGCATACATAGATCAATAATTCTCTGAGAATTATTAAAAACTTAGATTGTACCTGTATAGATTTGTCTGTATTTCTTTGATGTAATGCTTCATGTAATTGTTAATCTAAATTTGAAATAGATAACAGAAATTGTGACTGCAATGTGGAATTTTAGAATAGTTATTAGATCAGTGACATTGGAAAAGTCTTTTGTGTATGTCTCTGTATTGGCCATCTTCTGCAGTAATTTCTTGTATTCTGCCTGAATAATTGCATCATTATCAAAACTGTTAAAATTAATTATATATTTTTTTTGGTGGCACTTACTGCTCTTATTACTGTCAGCAGCTTGAAGGAATTAACATTAACATGTGCCCAGGACTGAAAAAGACAGAATTAGAGTTGAGGAGGAACAGTTATGATGTAGCTGCCTGTTTCGAGTTCTTTATACTCAATATCTTCATTAAGGTCGCAAGGGAATAGGAATATATATCCCTGTCTTTTCAGGGAAATCTGTGTCTGTCAGTGAAAGGTGTATTTTGCTCTCTGTGCTCTGAACACACAGTCTGAATATTTAAATTAATACTGCTTATTCAGGTATTCTAAGACAGGATTAAATTGCACTAACTCATGTGAAATCCTTCATTTGATGTTTTCTTGATGTGTTTTTTCTTGATAATAGAGGAGGAAACAGTCCTATTTTGCAGCATAAGCTTTATCCTTCTGTTTCCTTTCTGCATTAGGCTGATGATTAGATATCAAAGTTATGAGTGTACTGCACTCAGCTAGTTTGCATCTGTGGGACTTATGTTCAGACACATATTCAAACATTTGTGTCCCACAGCAGCACTGTAACCATTGAGATATGTAACGGCTTTTTACCTCTGCCCTAAGCGTATTGATATATTTGTATGAGATAAGCAGTTTTAACTGCCTGGAAAAGAGATTCCATAATATATTATTTAGGTATTTATATCAAAATCAAAGACCTTGAAGCTAGGGCTGCTACATCTCAGTTAAGTATTCTCCTTACTGGCTGTTCATCAGTGTCACTGTTAGAGCTGAAAGTATATTCCTGTTCTCAGGAATTCTTATGACAATATTTGCCATGAAGATTAATTTGCCCCAAAACTTTAGTTTCCATAAGTTATATTTTCATGTTTTTGATGTTTGTATATCAAAACAAAATATGTCACTACTTTTTTTTGTTGCTTCCCCCCGCCCCCTTTTTTTGGATGTTTCCCTCCAAAAGCCACCACTACATTCGTTCATTGCTGTGCCTTGAGAAGGCATAATCCACCTCACTATTCAATTTACTAGTCACTGGTTCCTGTCTAGATTTCTGCAAGTTTGTCCAGCTTTCTCAAGTAAGCATCGAGGTAGCAGACAGGCTACTCAGAGCGGAATAACAAATGTCAGTATCTCCCTGCATCTATCCAGTATTTTTTTATGTTATAAAATTTACAATATGTAGAAATTTATAAAGCCTCCAGAACCTAATCTACTACAAATTTATTCCTCCCCAGACCGATGTAAGGGTACAATTATTTACGTTTTCATAGTTATGTCCTACTCTTGTGCCTTCTATAATGTAAAATTTGTAAGTGTATGAATTGATGCATAACAAAATAATAAATGTATGATACACCTCTTTCTTTAACTTTTTGTTTTGTTTTGCTTATAGTTGTCTTAAGTGCCTGTTTATATATTAAAACAATAAAATAAAAAGCTTTTCTGTTGTTATAAAATGGATGGCATTCACATCAAAGAGCTTAGTAGTATTATATCCCACATGTCAGTACATTATGCATTCTGACTTTTAAAAAAGCAGTTTCAAACTTTATTTAGCAGCCAGTCAATTTCAGCTTAGTTTTAGCTAGGCCTGATTTAACATCTGGGAAATGGAGTTCTGGAAAGTGAGCTTCGAGAACCGTATATGAGGTTTAAAAGAAATTTAAAAATCTAATGCTGGAAATTGCTTTTATCTCCTATGCATCTTAGGTCTTTGATTATGACTTTGGACTTCAAGATGACTTTATTGGTTCGGCATTTTTGGATCTGACTTCATTGGAATTGAACAGGTATGGCACAAACCAGCCCCCAGAGTAATTGCTTGTGTGGTCTGCTAATTTCATATCTGTGGAACTGCAAATCATTGTGTGTAAAAAATAATAACAATAAACCTCCAGCACTTAAATCTAGCAGACCTTTTAGATTTAGGGAATTAAGGTAGTAAGAATGTAAGCCTTATGTTAGCTACATCAGCTGATTGTACACAAACATTTGTTGCAGGGCCTATAGAGAGGTTAGTTTTATAACCACTGTTTCCTATTAGCTTCATTCAGAACATTACCACCTACTGTTTGATTAACTTCCCTTCTCTCTTAATTGAAATTAATAGTATAGTTCAGTTTTAATTACTTCAGTATGTGTAGTACTTAACACAGAGTAACTGCATTTAGTATTTATGTAGGAGCTTTTAGACTGTAAATTTTAAAATTAGATATAAACTGAACTTGTGAAATCATTTTCAAGTAGTTTCCTATAAATGCTTATTCCGTTAATATTTACAACTCAGAAATTTCGATGTATTGTATGAGAGCCGGAAATCGAAACACATGCTTATGTTTTTGTCTCTTAGGCAAACAGATGTTACCTTGAGCCTGAAAGATCCTCACTACCCTGACCATGATCTGGGAAGCATTTTGTTGTCGGTGCTTTTGGCTCCTAGAGAGGAGCAGCGAGAAGTAGTAAGTTTCAGTGTCTTCACAAGAATTTTCTTTCGTGTGGTCCTCCTGTGGTAGGATGACTTAAAGCACTGTAAGAGGAAAGCATATGTTCAGAAACAAGTTTGGTTTTCTACCACTTAAGAGAATACTAAATAGTATTTCTGATACAGTACAGCATGCCTAATTCTGCTTGGATCCTCCAAATGCTAATAGTGAGGGATCTAGATTGAACATAAATGTTTAGCAGCTTCAAGTGAAGTTGCCGGTCAATGCTGGTGATTATTATGGAAGAACATCAATAAACCAGTTTCATTACTGTCAAGGAGTTTTGGACCTAGTGCTCCTGTCTCCAGATATGGATGTTTGAATCCTATTCTACTCTGAAAAGAAAGAAACTTGAAAAAAGTAATATTTATGCTTCTTGGCATTTAGCAATATAGTATTATTTGATATTTTGCAATTTTATAAGCACATTCTGATTACAAAATTAAACTTTTTTCCCTATTTATTATAATTCCTTCATAAATTTTGCATTTCTTAGCTGCTTAGCTATTACTGAAAATAGCTTTCAGTTTTATAGATCCTGTCAGTTATGACAATTTCTGAATATAGTTGAGTGTACTTTACTACTTTTTGTCTGACTTTTGACTTGAGTAGTAGTGGAACATTTATGGTAGGAATATATATGGTAGAAATACAGTGAACTCTGTTCAGAGTTTGTAAAGTAACATGGATTCCTTTGGCATCAAGGAAGTCAAGAAAAAAACCTGTTAATCTGATGAAAATCTCCATTGAAATTTAGTCTTTCTTCTTTTAATAAGAGTATGGTCAGCTATATGAGTTTCATGCATTTGCTTACATATGTTCTGGAACATTACCGTGATCCATCTGCTTGAATACCCAACAGGAGGAGCATTAATGGGTTGTTGCAGTGCTCTTTTTCTGCTTTTCTTTGAGCTATCTAAATATACCAAGAAGTCCATTATTGGAATTAGGTGTTGGTATTTGGCATAACAGAGATGGAGTTTTGGGAACGGCTGTCTCGCCCATTAATTTTCCTCATGACATTCCAAAAATAACAGAAACCAATAATAATGTCTTGGAAAGGTTTTCTATATGAAGTATTATTGTTAATTTAAGCAATAACTTCATCTAAACAACTCAGAACATCTTGCAAATTTATACCACTGAACTAAAATGTTTATCAATTACACTAGAAAACAGATTTGATTACATATTTTTGTGTGTGTGTTTGGAAAAAAGCAATCTGACTCGGTCAGTAGTAGCTTTGTTGTCCAAGCTGTTTTGGCATTATCCTCCCATAATCCGAGGTCATAAAGCAGAGAAATATTATGCTTTTATATGGGACACCATTAATATGGACGATAGATAAAGATTTGTTTCCTCTTTGCATTATACGGGTAATAGTGTGGTGTTCAGTATAAGTAAGAATTCATTACACAGAGAGCTAAGGAAAATTGCAATGAGAAAAATAAGCCACAACACTGCAGTAAAATGTCTTTTTGGTTGTTTTTTCAAGGGGATATTTATGCAGTAAAATGAATATTACGCAGTTAACTGAGTCTTCCAAATAGTGGGGGTGCACGGCGTTGTTGGAAAGCAGCCTTTCCAACAGGAAAGCAGCCTGTACCCAGCCACCCATTACTCCAGTAAGAGGAGTGGTTGCTGTAAAGGTGGTACACAGCATTGCTAGCGTTGTGTCTTGCAAACTCTCTGCTTTGCCTGAAGTGATTAGCTTTTCATCTGAACTGCTGTTGTATTGGACTTCACCCTGAAAATGTTCCAGATGGAGTACTCGCTTCTTAATCTGAAGTTTTGTATTTTGTTTGAGAAATCGATCTTTCCAAGTTACGTGTCTTCGAGAAAGTTCTAACAAGAATTCTGGTGGAATTAGAGGTTTGATATGACAGGGAGGGGAAGATGACCTACAAAATTAATACTGAATTGGTGTATAAGAATATGTTGTGGGCTTAATAATTCAAAGCATAGGAGTTTTTTTTTTTCAATTTTCACATGAAGTTATTTATTATTTATTAGATTTTATTTACTCGCTAAAGAGCAGATATATTACAAGATATATCACCCCAATTAAATCGTCATCCTTGGTTGTTTTTAAAATAGATTGAGGATGATTTTGATAAAATGTAATGTGGTTGAGATGAATAAATTTTCCAATATTATGTCTAATGATGATTATGCCTAGTATTTACATATATTTAGTGCTATGCAAATGAGGACAATATAAAACAGCAACTAAACTAACCCCTCCATTCACAAATGTGCTACTTTTTTTCACTCAGCTGTCTCTATATAGGCAGTCATTTAAATTATTTTAATTGAATTAATTTTATTGAAATAAATTTTGACATAGATATAAAAATGAAATTAAATTCATTCAAAAATGAAATTTGATTGAAAACCATGAAAAAAATTGAGGTATTTGTTGCTATATGTAAAGAATTTAAATTTCATAAACCTAAATTGAGAATGCTTCTTAAGTTCATCAAAGAAAAGAAGTGTTAGCTTTCCCACATGGCTATAGCATGAGAATGCCACTGTGTTTGCTCTGTGTACTGCTCTGTACTGACGAGCCAAATCTCAGCCATTCATGAGCAAAACTTGCCGTTTGTGAGCATACTGTTTGGTAAGTGATGCAGATTGCACTTACCAACAAGATCCTCAGCGACCTGAATAGGAGAGATTGGAAACTTTTATTTATTTATTTAGAGTTTGCACATTTGGGAATAATGTGTAGAGAAAGCACAAGTTTTGAAGCGGGGGAATTTCTTGATATGTCAAAATATCATAGCTATGTGCGCTAAACAGTGAGACTTTTGGCACTCCTCTTGAAGGATAGCATATTCCAGTTGGAAAGTTTGGAGTGAAAGGGTAAAAAATATGGATTTGGGGGTGGCTATTTAGAAAATAAGTACTATTGATGCAGGAGTAGCATATCTTTCTGAAAGAAGTTCTGATGAGATGCAGATTTCCAGTGCGTTGACTGGTGAGATGTTTTTCCTTATAATTTATTGCTAAAAGCTCTCAATACCTAAGATAAAGTCAGATTGCGCTTGTTGTTTCCAAATTACTTTGCCTTTTGTGACCTAATGCCTATGCTAAGGGCATGACACATGTGGGTTTTACAATTAATAATCTTGTAGTAACATCAAGTGGTTGAATCACATATGTGAATAGATCTCTTATTATTGATATTTGTTGAAATAAAGGTGACCAAATTCATTCTCATTTTTAAACTTTATTTAATAGGATTCAAAAATAATAAATGAATTATTTAAGTATCTTCAGACTAAGTATCTTTAATGTTTAGTAGTATTTTGTTGTCCTCCAGAATCGAACCTGACCCAAGTTGCAGTGCACTAACTCTACTAAGTTATTTTCATTTAAAATTTGTCCTTTACGTTAATATAGCAATTTTAATGACTTTGCTGTGTGAGCACAGATAGCTTAGACAACCAAAGCAAGCAAAGAATATTGCTTTTAAAAAGGTATCTGAGTATACACGCATAAAAACACACAAAACCTGTGAGAACTGCCAAAAACAAAATAAAAACAATAAAAAAAAAATAAAAATAAAAACTGTTTTAACTCTGCTCCTAACAGTAAGCTGTGTATGATGCACTGTATATATTTTGCAAAACTTACTATTTTTCCAGACTGTGGTTATTTAAAGCTTGGCTTTGGCCCGCTCAGGTGGAGCCTGCTTGGATTATTGCTGCTTATTTACTTATTATTTGGGGTGTATTCTGCTCATGGTACTGCAGGCTGCAGCTGCTGCTTGCCTTGGCTGCGCGTGGCGCTGTGCATGCGGCCGAGCCGCTTGCATGCGTGCCGCTTCCCGCCGCGCCGTCCTCGGGCCCGGTGCATGCCAGTGTTTCTGCCTCTCTCCCTAGCAGAACTCCGTGCTCACATCTCGTCCCTGGAGAACTTGCAAAGTAACTGTGAGTTCCCGCCGAGCTGCTGCGTGTCTCCCAAGCTCTGCCTCTTGGCCACCCAAATTAGAAATTGGGTTCCTTCATCACAACGGTTGCCTTGTGGCCAGCAGAGGTTGGGAATTACTGCCCTGTAGCTGCTAGCTGCTTGAGAAGCATAGAAAAGGGGGCAAATGGAACATATGAATGCTACTTGGAGGTTGCTATTTAATGAGAAGAAAATTCATGGGATTATTTTGGTCCTACCTTAAATCATTTATCCTAAATGAGGCTTAATACTTGTTTGCTTCACGTAAAAAGTGTTAGCAACATTAGTATGCTGCAGTATGCTTGCTGTGCTAAATCTTACAATGTAACTAGATTTTTTTATTTATTTGTCAAAAAGATAATAATATCACAGTAGAAAAGAATGACAGAATTGTACTCGGGGCATGGAATATTTCTATATGAAATAATTCCATGCAGGTCATTCATCATAGCCTGTTCTATGCTATTTATTTACTTTGTTGGCTTCTAAGGGTAGCTGGGATTACCTTGGCTTGTTCTGCTATAGCTGGTGATAATGCCAGTGCATTCAACAGTACAGTCATATGTTTCCATAGCTGCTACACAAACTTAACAGCTCAAAGCTGAAATAATATTAGAAATGTAGTAGATTCTGATTTGGGGGCCAAATTCTCCCCCTTTCCTAGAGTGTCATTCAAACCCCCGTGAAGCTGAATTTTTGCTTTGGCTTGTAGGTGTGTAGGATGAAGCATCTACAAGAAGGGGAAATGTTATGGTATAAGTGGCACAGGTCCTGGGATGGGACCGGGGAACTCGGAGTTCTTGTCCAAGAACTGCTGTTCACCTCAGGCTGCTTAATGTTTATATGCTTCTTTTGTTCTACCTATAAAAACAAGTAAGCTTTTTAAAACATTCAGTATCTTTGCACATTCACCAAAGTCCCAGCATTGTATTAATCACTAACTTGTGGCAGAGCTTGAGCCTTAGGCTTTAACTCCTCAGAGCAGCTTAAAAGCTTTCCTGCAGACTGTTTTTCTCCCAATAAGCTGTGTTTAGATAGGAAAAAAAAATAAGTATCTTTTAAAATTATAAAAATCAAAAAGAGTTTTAGTGATAGTCCAATAAAAGAAATGTTTATTTTTATGAGATAAAGAAGTTGAAGGAGAAACGATTTATTCTTACTCAGGGTAAGCATGGGTACCAAATGCTATTAAATTGTACAAAGTGATCCCTCTGCCTTTCCTCAACACTGCTTTAAACAAGAGTTGTCTTCACAGATAGATTGTCCACCCTCATCTTGACTGGTCTGTCTGTTTTAATGATTATGAATCTGTGTCTGTGGACACTTCGTGTTCCAACCTGACAAAGTTCTTATGGATTATTTAGGTGACAGGCTGCTGGATTCTAGGTGTTGGGTTTTGTGTGTTTTGTTTTGAAGAGTCAAGAAAAGTGTAACAGCTTCATAAGTTGACAGCCAGAAAGTGAAAGGTCTCTGTAGTGAAAGAGGATCAGCTCTGTTTCAGTAAATGTAATACGTTACCACCTGCCGCTGGTACATGATGCCTTATGCACTGTCCTGGGCTTCTTGCTGTTCTCAAATGATGTATAACTGAAGACATCTGAATGATTTTTTCTATGGAAATAGAGACTCTAATATTTATCAAAATATTTATCAAAAGACAATAAAGCATGGGCAATTTTTGTGGATATTTATCCAGAGCAAGTGAAGAATCGTTGAAGTCAGTAGGCACAGTCTCAGTACTTGGTGTTGCTGAGCACCAGATTTGGTGCTGGAGGTGCCTCCTCCAGACTGAGTCCCAGACTCCGTGCTCCTAGATCGTTGTCCTAGAGAAAGAGCAGGTCACGTGGACCTAGTGCTCAGCAGTCAACCCAAGCTGGAGGACATGGGAGGGCTACCTGCTCCCTTGCCCACGTATCCAACACCGATTTTTATGACAAAGTTGGTGTTTGGGGGTAGTGTTATCAGTGAAGAAACTTTTTTTGTTATATGTCATGTGATATGCAAACCACCTTCCTCTTCCTCAGTCATCACAAATATTATTATTATCCAGCCTTGAATATTTATAGTTCAAAATAAATTAAATGATTTAGCAGTACTTAGCTCTAGAACTATTTTTAGTGAGAACTAGAGCGTACTCAGATTATAGGAATTGAACTTAAGGTGTGAATTTTATTGCAATCTATTTGTATAATTATCAAAAAATAAAACTACTTTCATTAACATGGACCTATGTAGCAGCAGTAGCCTTTAAAGATGTTGTTAGATGTATGTCATCCAATGCACACCATGTAGGATTACTCTTTGCATCTACACTGACTGGACTAAACAGCAGGCTCTTGTGAAGAGTTGTGGTATATTAAAGAATAGGGACAGTATCACTCAGAATGTAAGTCCCTGTCATTAGTTGCAGGTTGATGTTTTTCCTTGCTTACCTCTGCCTTTTTAAATTTTTTAATACTTTTTTTTTTCATACATTGCTGCATTGCCTCATGAAATAAATACATCCTAAGCAGAAAGTATGCCTGGGCGTGAACAGTGCTTCTAGTCGTGTGGTTTCATTTCAGTTCTGTGTAGCTGTGAGTGGAGTGTATGTGTTGCTGCTTCAGTTGTAGTGCTGGTTCAATGTGGATTGTGGATTGTCTCAGTAGAAGACAGTTGGCCTCCTTTTCTGTATTTCAGAGTAAAAGGTAATTAAAATGCTCTATTTTATTTTCAGACAATGCTAATGAGGAAGAGTTGGAAAAGATCAAGTAAGGTAACTTTTAGCATGTGATCTTCTGACTATTTTTTTCCCCCTCTTCTCCAGGGGAACTGTGTTGTTTACCAAATGTTTTTCTAGGGCTGGAAATTTGTGGTGCAGAATTATACTCTCTTAAACTGTTTTGTTTGACAGTTCAGGTGAACCTTTAATGTAATCTTTAAATCTCTGAACTTTGTTGTAGCATTTTAGCCTATATTGGAGTTATCCAGCAACTTCAATTAATAAAAGGGTAAACATATCCTGATTCTTTTACAAATACCTCTACTTGTCATTTATAGTTTCTTTCAAGCCTACTCCTTAACTCCTAATGTCAACATAAAGAATTATTGACAGGTGATAACTCTTGCTTTCCAATTACTTTTTGTTGTCACTGACTAGAACTCTTGTATGTGAAAGTTTTCAGACTAGTTCTTGAGGTTAATTTTTCCCAACTTCGTTTCTCTGGATGTGAGCACAAGTATCCTGGTTTCCCAAGGGTAAAGTGCCTATGAAATCCACTCCAGCCTTCGATTTTGGACAGGTCTTTAAATGCATCTAGCGGAGTGTTCAGTATCTTGCTGTAAAGTGTGTGTGTGTTTCTTCCTAGTGAGGTGAGACTGGGCGGCTGCCTGGGGTAGAATGCAGTTCAGTTTTTACCTATTCCGTGTGTGCATTTCAGAGAAGATAATGAACATATTTTTGGGATTTTTTTTTTCCTAATGCTGCCATGCTGCTTTTGGGTTGTGAGCCTTCTTACTATTTGCGTAAGTAAAAATAGTATTCAGTTATCTGAAATACATTTGTCTTTTTTTTTTCTTATTTTCTTTTTTTCTTCTTTTCTGATGTGCTCTGTGTGTTTTGTTGGTTGGGTGAGAGTTGTAAATTTGACGTAGGAGGAATTTTGCTCAGCTTCATTAGTGTTTGACACAGTTGTCAACTGATAATCCTGAATGAAGGCTGCAACAGGATAGTTGGGGGGTCTTCTGAACGGCTCAGCTGAACTACTTTGTTCTTTGTTGTGTGCTTTCTCGTTGCATTCATCTGATAACCCTTCGTTCAACAGCTGCTGTTCACAAAGAGGGATATCAAAAGATTGGGCGAGTGGAGAAAGTTGGAATTTAAATATGACATCAATATTTATCTAACCTAAATTTGTAATGTGTGATGCATATGTAACACTATATTAAGTATATGTTTTGTAATTGAAGTCACTTTCATTGCAATCTGCTCCCTTCTCCCGTGGAACTCCACAAGAATTCCTAATCTTGGAATGACTGTCATTAAAACAAATGAAAAAAAGAATCTACAAAAAATACTGTCAAAATATTGCTGTGCTTAAGGGTGCAGGATGGATAATATTAAATTCACCAATTTAAGAGTTGTCTAGAAACAGATATTTCATTCTATTAAATAATAGAGAAAATCTCCTAAATGAGATCCTTTTTCTTGAGGAAGTGTTTGTCTTATATTTCTGAAAGTTGAAAAAAGTGTGTATTTTCCTTGTCATTGTTTGTAGCTGATTTCCCAAATATATTCTTTAAACTCTCTGAAGTACACTGGCATTTCTATTAATGCATTAATGTAGACTGAAGTAAGATTTTTTTAAAAAACCCTCTACTTTAAATCTCACTTTTCTGTAGCACGTATAGCCTAAAGCTAAGGTGTGATTATGCAGAGCAGTTGGCATTACTGGTGCTTGTGCTCTGCATTACTTTTTCTCACTCACTCAAGCAATAGTTGTAAAAGGAGTGATCACTAATCTGCTCTATCACAGTATTCGTACCCCTTGAAAAAATAATTTGATGAAATGCTGAACATCTATTCCAAATTCTGCTTCCTGTGGGCGTGCTCAGGGTGAAGTGAGGCACTCATGAAATAGCTGGGTAAACACATCTATGTATTTTACCTACTTCGTGTGTAAAGCTGTGTTTACAAAACTCTAGTGGTGTTGCAGCCACGCATTTTCTGTGTTTGATGATTTCTTTTTCCTTTCTTGTTTGCTTTATTCCTGTCTTGATAAATATTCACGGGAGGTAGAGGACTCGCACGAGCTCCGTCAGAGGGACAACTTCCTTGAGTGAAACTAGCAAAAATGAAATTCAGTGATTTTAAGTATTTCATTCAAAAATGAAATAGAAGTCAGTCCTAGGAAAAAAGAAGATGCGAAAGGAGGCTCCCAATGGGCTATGAAAAAGAGTAGCAACAGGATTTTTAAACATTTTGTGCATATATTGGTGAACTGGGGGATTGCCAACTAATCTCCGTGTATCTATGCCTTTATTCCAGTGGTTTAGAGATCAATTCCTTAGATCTTTTTTTTTTTTTCCTTAGGGCATTTTTTTTTTCACTTCTGTTTAAAATGCAGCCACTTCCCTCTGCTTTCCATAGCTCCTGGTTGTGACCTGGTAACCTCTTCAGAAACTTTCTAGTGGAATGGAAGTTTCTTTCCATGCCCGTCTACTTCAGCTGCTTCCCTGTCTGCACTTCTCCCAGCCGTGAAGGATTGATGCTGTTTTCTTATATTTCTTGCACTATATTCTTGGCAATTCCTGGCAGCTTTTCCTGATTGCCCTTAGTATTTGACTTGAAGCAAAAAAATCTCCTGCATCTTGTTTTGCTTTAGAAAGCAAAACACTTTCTAGATACCAAACACTGTGGTTATGTTGTTTAGATAGAGCAGGATCACAAAAGTGTCCAACTTGCCAGAGGAGTCATTGGTTACTAACAATGACAGTGTGGTGGACAGTGCCTCTGCCTGAAGTGGTTTTTCCATTCCAGAATCCTCCGTTTGAGTCATTTGATGCAAAGGATGATGCTACTACTACTAGCATGAACCAGTACAGATAAATTGGAAGAGTAGTTCTCCTCCTCCTTACGCTTGAGGGAAAAATGTTAATGTCCTCTTAACATTTCTATATGAAACCATTCAGGAAAAAAAATCAATTCTATCTCTTAATTTACTATTTCTCTACAGCACAGAGTCTTAATTGATAACTGAAAATATACGGGAAGAGAGCCTATGAAAATGTTGGCAGCATTAATTAAGAAATACACATGTTACTGTCTTTGTCATTTGTATGCTATGTTCAGTGCAGTGTTATCTTTAAAAAAAATAAATTGTCTTTACCATTATTAAATCCTTATGCTAGTGACAGAAGAAAGATACTTGAAATGCAGTGTTTTTCACTTGTACAAAATGAAGATGTTCGCTTTAATTAAATACTTCCTGTTCTTACCCTCTTAGCTTTTGATGATGGAATTTCCTTTTCTGTTTTGTTTTGGCCTTACTGCGAACAGATCTTTTATTTTCTTCTGGATAAAATGCACTGCTCTTAGTACTTGCATAATACGGAGTAGTGTTGAAATCAAGAGGGTAAATACCAGACCTGTGGTTGATGGAACAAAAATTACAATTCAGAGCAATTCAGAGCAAACATATTTGCCAGCCAAAAGGTTTTTTTTTTTTTTCTCCCCCATTATAGTGTGCAAGAGGGATAAAGTGAATGCATTTAAAAACCAAAAATGTTTCTTTTTGTTGCAGAATGTTACCCCCACTATTACGTGCTGACTGCAGACAGTGCTTCCTCTGAAATAGTAAGATGTTAAGCTTTGTAGATATATGAAGGTTGTTATTACTTAGAGTTATCAAGTAATTTTATTAGCATCTGACACTTATTGCTTGCTTTAATTTAAGCAGAAACTTTCTCTTTGAGACTCTCTCTTTCAAAGAGCATTGCATTTTATTCAGAGCAGACTGAGGGGAATATAAGTTTAGTCAGTATTTTATCGTTGATTCTCTCTCGCTGTACAGATTGCTGTATGCTTACAGGATGCTAATTCAAAAAATGGGATGATGGCTTGAGATAGGGCAGTTTTACTAGTTCTTGCGGGATAGCATGGATATAATTTGCTTTGGAAATTTAACTTTGGAAGGAAAAGGGACCGTCTGAGAGGGAGAGAGAGGTGGGGCTAGTGGCAAGACAGAGAGAGGTGGTGAACAGTGAACAGCTCACTTCCTTACCCAGAATTTCAAGTGTCTTGGATATTAAAAAACCTGTGTCCAGGATGGGTGTGAAATACACAGAAAATAGTACTAATGCGCTGAAAACTTGTCTTCCTACCCTCAAGCAGGAGCACTGATAGCTAAACTGTGGTTGACAGCTGTTTGTCTAATCCGTCCGTACAAATCTGCAGTGATGGGCACTCTGCAAACTCCCTGGAGTCTCCCGTCTACTGTTTCCATCAGAAAGCTGGGTTTGTCCCTTGCAGTATCCCCCAGGAAGCAAATTAAGCCAGTCTCTTCCCTAGACATGGGTGGATATGTTTTATCACAGTAATGTGGGCCAAATTCTCACATCAGAATGAAAAAAAATATACTTTTTTTTTTTTTTAATTTGGAGGGATATTATGCAATGTTTAACTGTTAATGAAAGAGTAGTGTGCAAGAGGAAACAGCCATGTTATAAGAAGTTTTACTGCAGTGAGAAGATGGGAAAAATTAAATGGTCGAGCGAGGTTACTTGGTCAGATTGGTTTGCTTGCAATCATTGCTGCGTGTTAGATCCTTAGTAATTGTAGAGCGTGTAGAAAGCCTCTATAAAGATACTTTCTGAGAGCATGCATAATGTTTACAGATGATTATATACTTCTGTTATAATATAGAGAGATTTTGCACAATGTGGGATTACTGGTCTTGCCCAGAAAAGAGATGTGACAAATTTATCTGGCTTTCATCTCAGAACTGTCATAAACTTCATAGTGTTTGTAGTCCCATAGGGCATCAAAATACACAGTCTAAGATGAATGTATCAAGGTAGGATAACTGCCAACAACCAACTCTTGGTTTTTATTTAAGGTACATATAGCCTATTACATAAATAGGCAGAATATCCATGCTTAGCTCAGTGATTGAGAGTGCAGCACCTGTATCTTACTCTGATTTGTCAGGCAGGAAGACGCGTTCAGAAATGTAGGATATCTTGTTCAGTTGTCCACTTGTCCTCCCTTTCTGCTCC